CTGATGCAATTGAATGACATTACACATTGAATTTACTGTACTATATTCATGGAGAAAGGAAGTTTAGTGGGCAGAAACTTGAGCAAAAATATATAGCCCATAAAAAGATAGTCATAGTTAATGAGATTAATGGTTTTTCTGATGAAAATAAATAAGCCCTCATCATGTCTCCAACTTTGAATATGTTACTGGTATTTGGCTAGAATTCCTGGGGTTCGATGCGCTTATAAGCTCACAAATGTATGCGTTTTGACGAAAATTACCAGACCTTAGTTGTTACAGCTCATTTCTTTTAAATTAACTTTCACGACTGCCCTTTTTTTTTTTTTTTTTTTCCAAATAACGTATGTGTGTTGTCTCTTTCACAAAGAGGTCCCCGTAAAAGGGATTCTAGTTTTGCCAACATTGTACCAGAACTTGGTAGAATCACTTCTAAAAGCGGTGAGAGGTTACTTAATATGCTTATAAACACGAAAGGCATGTGTTTCTCTTATTGTTATTATTTTATTACGTAGTGGTCGAACATACGAGCATGATTCAATGAAGAGATGTCTACTGCCTAGTCCTTCCTTGTATGGGTTAGATCACCCATCTTTTTCACGTACCTCTTGACTAATTTGTGGATCCGTTTGGCCTCCGTTTTTTTCCAAAGTTTAACGCTTGAAATAGTGTTTTTTTCTTAAAATGTGTGGTTGAAAAAGAATGAAAATTTTTCGATTTGAGTATAATATTATTTTATAAAAGATTGTGTGGTTAGAAATAAGAGAAAATAAAGAAAGTGAAAGAGAATGGAGGTCAAACTGCTCACATTTGATTTTTCTACACATTCCCTTGTGATTACTTCGAAAAAAATACTCGTGACAATCTTTGACTGGGTGGGATAGTTCGATCTCAAGCTTTTAGACGGCAAAATATACTTTTTTACTGCTTTGACGACACGGCTAACGTATAACGTTATATCATCTGGCCAAAAAATATTTTATTCATTTTCGTCACTACTTCAAAAATAAAATGGTTAGCTAATCAATTAATTTATTATCTTTCTTAGACTACTAATCAGGTCAGGCCAGACTGAAGTCACTAAGTCCATTTTATAGGCGGGCCGATCTTGTTCAATGTATTCGGATAGGCCCATTTGAAATTATGAAATACAAAATTACAAATGTTTCAAAATATAGTTTCAAAAATAATTAACTTGTGAAAAAAGTTTCAAAAATGTGACCATCTGATAACATGTCAAGGTCACAATTACATGTCAAAGTACATAATAACACACGATTTCACAATCACAAATGGCATAAATTCATAGTTACAAAAACATAAATTGTAAATTACAATTAGGGTCTGTTTGATTGCGAAAATAGAATTTGGATGGAAAGAAAATGAATTTCAAAGAATTGAATTACCTAGAAATTATTTTTCTGGGAATTGTAAATTATTGTATTTGATTAGTATAATTTTTCATGTGAAAAATGTTGAAGTAAAAGTGTTTTTT